GAAAGCTAGACATGTGGCAATTTTTGAGAAATTCCTACTAAAGCCCACAACCCACTACTAGGCTACAACTCTCCACCATTCAGCCATGTGGCCTTCTCATTTTTCTGGAAAGCTAGACATGTGGCATTTTTTAAAAAGTTGTTGCTAAAGCTCACAACCCACAACCATCCTATTAATTCAAGAAATAGGATTCAAAAAGTGGATAGTTTCACTCCTAAACATTCTAAATAGACAGTTATTTATTAGTTTAGCACATGTTTATCCATAGTTTATTATTACCATAAACCCATGTTTGTTTTTAAATGATTTTTTTTCAAAAAGAAAATACTTAATTATAAACTTGATTTAACTTTTAGGAAACAATCTAATTTAACTTTTAAAAATAGATAACTCAAAATAGATTTATTAGATAAATAGTAAATACCAAATAAAGTGGGTTATTGTTTACAAATAAGATCTCATTTAATATCTTATATCAAATTAAAAAAACATAAGTTAATAATGGTTTTCAAATAAAATAAGTCAGAATAGACTGTCAATTACAAAGATGCAAGACCCATATTAGTTTTTTTTTTTAATTTAATTTTTAATAACTAAATAGTAAACTTCAAAATAAATTATACATACATTTAATTACCCCGTACTTAGTACGGGAGTCATTGTCTAGTTTTTATGGGGAAGGAGAGCATCTCATTGGTTGTTTAAAAAATGTCATAGAATAAAAAATAGAAAAATAAAAAAAAGGAGAAAATTTCTTCACTCTTGTATTTTAGTGTGTGTGTGTGTGTGTATCTATCTATCTATCTATCTATCTATCTATCTATCTATATATATATACTAGTGGGGCTTGTTTAATGCACTGGATGAGGAAAACTTAGAGATATTTTAATAATCAATATTATATCTATGGATATTTTACTAATTTACCATTAGGTTTGGAGAATTATATGCAAACCCCATTCTTAATTTGGGGAAAAAATATTTTCTTTATCCCCACCCTGTCTCTACCTTGTCCCCGTTTATGATTTGAGAAAACTTGTCCCGTTCAGGGCAAGGCAGGGTAAGGCCCCAGTTTTACAAGGAAAATCGTCATCCCTACATTTCTAATAATTTTCTATAACTAATTAGCTGACAATAAATTACAATACTTTATGATAATTTCCAAAAATTATTGAAATTGCTATTGATTAGTAGTACTGTATAGTAAATTAATTATTTACAATAACAACAATGGATTGTTATTTAAATAATTATGAAACAATTTCTAATGGATTAATTTCCTAAAATTTTTAATAATTATTTAGTTGAATAATAATTATGGATTATTAATTAAATAGTTTTGGAAAATATTTATTTTGATAGATTAATTTCTTAATTTTTTAATTCTTATTTAAAAATAATAATTATGGATTATTAGTTAAAGATATTCCCTAAATTATTTGATAATTGCTAACTATAATTATTGATTTATAGAAACTATTCAACTAGTAAATTACGCTAACTAGTAATATATTTTATCAATAAATTAATATTGTAAAAATTTAATGAAAATTTATTAAATTACAATTATTGTGTAAATTGCAATAAATATTACAATTTTGAAAATTTATTAATAACAAAAAATGGTTAAATAATGGATTGTTTATTACTTTTTGGTAGATTATTAAATTATTTAATATTTGTTAAATAATGAATTATTTCTGAAATAATTATCTCATCATTTTTATTAGAATATTTTTCTATAAACTTTTAATAATTTTCATAACTTATGGATTATTTAACAATAGATTGTTATTTAAGAATAATGGAAGATGCCATGAATATATAGGAAACATCAAATTCCCCTTAGTCCCCTCACTTTTGCTTGAAATCATGTCTATAGATATAAATATTGTTTGATTTGGAAAACTAAATCTTAATAAATTGTGGCCCTCTTTTTATGGGAAAGTGGAGAGAATAGAGGGGAATTAGAGATTAGAATTAAATAGGATATATATATATATATGGCGGGGGCTTGTGCAATGCACGGGATGGGGCACCCTTCCTTGTCCCTCACCCCCGCAAGTCAAGGCACTCTACTCCATCCCCGACCCGACCCCCAACGGCGAGGGGGTTTGGGGCGAGGCACCCATTCCTCATCGGTGATGAGGAATCCCCAAATTTTTCCCACCCTGAGGTAACCACTTAAAAAATCTAATTTGTGGATATTTTATAAATAGGATTATGGGAATTTGGGGGTATTTTAGGATTTGGATTATAACAATTTCGGGGTATTTTATAAATGAAATTATGGGATCCTTGAGGAAAAGTTAGAGACATTTAAAAATCAATATTAAATCTATGGATACTTTACAAATTTATCATTGGTTTTGGGAATTATATGCAAACCCCATCCCTTATTTGGGGCAAAAATATTTCCCTATCCCCACCCCATCTCTGCTCTGTCCTTGTTTAAGATCGATTTGAGAAAACATGCGATATTCGGGGCGGGGTAAGGTAAGGCCTTAGTTTTATAGGGAAAATTGCCATCCCTACAATTCTAATAATTTTCTACAACTAATTAAATAATAGTAAATTAAATAACAATAAATTATAATATTTTTTGATAATTTCCAAAAAAAAATATTGAAATAGCTATTGATAGTAGTAATGAATAGTAAATTAATTATTTACAATAACAATAAATGAGTGCAAATTATTTACTTTTTAAGCCTAAATTATTTACTATTAATCAAAGTAAATGTAATTATAGTAAAGTAATGTAGTTGTAGTACATTACAGTATTTTTAATTAAAAGTAAACCATTTGTTGTTAATTAATGTAAAACTAGGTATGATCGAAGTCAATCAAGTGGTCTAGATCGGTGTGGATAGACTTAATAATTTTCCTAAATTATTTAATATTTATTTACTAAAATAATAATAATGTATTTTTATTTAAAAAATTATGAAACAATTTCTATAGATTAATTTCTTAATTTAATTTTTTTAAAATTTTTAATAATTATTTAGTTGGATAATCATAATGGATTATTATTTAAATAGTTCTGGAGAATGGAGAGATGTAGAGCAATAATTAGTGCTAATATATTGTTGTCAGTTATTTTATTTATTGGGGTCCCCACTAATGCTATTAGTTATTTCTAAGCAGTAGGGGCATTAGTGTAATTATTGTTTTATATTTTAATTTTAATATAAATAGTTGAGTGGGGCCACAACTCAAGTTAACCCACACTCTTTCTCTCATTTCTCTTAATTTACATCAAGAATTGGACTGATTACGGTCTTGATTTGCCAATTGAGAATATCTTTTCATAGATTAATTTCTTAATTTTTAATTACTTGTTTAAAAAATAATTATGGATTATTAGTTAAAGAGTTTCCCTAAATTATTTGATAATTATTAACTATAATTATTAATTTTATAGAAATTAGTAAATTATGCTAATTAGTAATATCTTTTATCAATATATTATTATTGTAAAATTTAATGAAATTTTATTAAATTACAATGATTAATGTAATTACACTAAACATTGAAATTTTGAACATTTATTAATAACAAAAATCATTAAATAATGAATTGTTTATTAATTTCTGATAGATTATTAAATTATTAAACATTTGTTAAATAATGGATTATTTATGAAATAATTATTTCATAATTTTTGGTAGAATATTTTTTTAGAAATTTTTAATAATTTTCATAACTAATGGATTATTTAACAATAGACTATTATTTAAGAATAGATTATTTAACAATAATGGAAGATGCCATGAATATATAAGAAACATTGAATTCCCCTTATTTCCCTCTCTTTGTTTGAAATCACGTCTATATATATAAATATTGTTTGTTTGGAAAACCAAATCTTAATAAATTATGATCCTATTTTTATGGGAACGTGAAGAGAATAGAGGGGAATTAGAGATAGAAGTGATGGAGATGATAAAACATCTATTGAGCTAATTAAGGAGAGAAGTTAGGTTGTTATAGAAAGTGAGAGACTTGAGTTGTGGGGGGGAGAGAACCCAATGGGAAGGGAGAGAACCCAATGGGTTGGGGGTAATGGAGCAAGGGGAAGATAGGTAATGTGGATTGTATTGCTATATATATAATAATTTTGCTTATATATATAATAATAATTAACTATTATAATTCTTAGTTTTTTAAATATCAAATAAAAAGTTATATATATATATATATATAATTTTTTTTATTTTTATAAAACATTTAAGTCACATTTGAGCTTGAGTTGGGTTCGATTTGAATTTACGAGCTTTTGACTCGAACCGAATTCGAGCTCAAATCTTTAACTTGAATCAAGCTCGAGTTGGGTGCTTCAGTGCTCACACCATTCGCACAACCTTTTACGACTGTGGATTAATACTTTACCGTGCGAACAATGTTAGCACGGCCTCGTAAGGACCAAATCCCATGTCGTCCATGATGTTAGAGAGAGAGAGAGTGTGTGTGTGTGTGTGTGTGTGTGTTATAAAGGGGAAAATTCCCGATCAGTACCTTCTACTTTGGCTCGAGTGACAATTTGATCCTTGAACTTTAAAATGTGACAATCCAATACTCAAGCTTTCAAAATGTGACAATCCAGTATTTGTCGTTAACCAGTCCATTAATCAGCCATTAAGTGACATTTGAAAAGTCAAAAATGCCCTTCAAATGCCATCTAATTCTCTTTATCAACCATCCAAATGTGACAAAAAATTGAATTAGAAGAATATAGAATTTGAGACTATTCATTTTATTGTTAATATTTGGATGATTGATAAAGAGAAGTAGATGACATTCTTAAGAAATTTTTGACTTTTCAAATATCATTAATGAAAAATACTGAATTGTTATATTTTGAAATTTGGATACTGAATTATTATATATTGAAAGTTCGAATCATCGCATTTTAAAGTTTGGACACCACTTGAGCCATTGCAGTGGATTCATTTTTTTTAATGGGTAAAGAATCTCTGCCACAGCGAAAGTGTTTGCATCCCTAATATAAATACGGATACGGAGAGAGATGTGGCTCGTTGCCTCGTTCGTTGAGGCATCAAGCTTCATTGGACTTTGGGCTCCTGAGTAAGCTTCAAGTCGCCTAAAAATGCTGCGTTTAAGTCTCATCGGTCACAGCAAATCACCCTTCAGAGTTCAGATGATAGAGGACGAGGAGGAGGACGAGGAGGAGGCTGAGGTTTTCTAACTAGTTAACTAGTCTTTCCCTGATCTCTGTGCTTCGAAGAATAACCACCCTGTTAAAGCCGGAGATGATGACCAAGTATCGGTGCTCAACCCAACTGGGTAATACTACAAAGTGTTCTCGACGCAAGAGGCCTTCCTTTTTCAAGGTCTTGCTCCCCTCTCACTACTCCAAATTGCTGGTAAGAATATCAAGCAGAAGTTCTTTAGTCTCCATTCTCCAGTTTATCTGAACATGTCTAGTTCCTTTACCCTTTCTGGTGCTGCTTTGTTCTTCATTCTACTCTACGCTTAGATTTACCATTTCTTCTTTTGGCCGAACGACTTTTAATTTTGTAGCAGATACCACCACCTTTTATCAAGCATTTCAATAGATCAGTGCCCAGAAGATCCATCATTAGAAGTCCGACCGGAAAATGTTGGCCTGTAACTGTGAAAAAGATTGAGAAAAGATTCTATTTCCAAAAGGGTTGGCAGAGCTTTGTGAAACATCATGATTTGGTGGTTGGAGACCTTTTAGTTTTCAGCTACCATGGCAATTCAAAGTTCAGTGTTAAGATATACGACCGAAGTGCTTGTGAGAAACAAATGCCTTTACCACCTGTAGCCCAGATTCAGAGCACAAGTGTTTCCCACCCAACGAATGGAAAGCAAGGCAAAATGATGCCCAAAGTCACCAAGGAAACAGGTACTTCTTTTACGGTAAAAGTTTAGTTCTTTTTAGTAAAATATGACTTTGCATCATATTTGAAGGTGGATGTGTCAAGCCAAACAGAAAGCCTATTATCAAGAATGGAAGAAATGGAGGGTTTGAAGCTGCCTGTTCATACAAAACAGAGTTTCCATATTTTATTGGAGTTTGGAGAAACTCTAGAAGATATTACATGGTCAGTTTCTTATCCTAATTAATATCCAGATTCATTTGAATGTTCAGCCTAATGAGCCAATCCCTTGTTTAAAAAATGAAATAAGGAAAAACGATTTGGAAGAAGGGAAGCATTTCATATTCGAAGATGCTACAAATTCCTGATTTTGACTTTGCAAATTTGAAGTATATTTATTTTTAGATACAAGCATAATTGTAGAACTACTCTGTTCTATATTTTTATTTTTCCAGAGAAGTTATAACAAAAGACAGAAAATTCATTAAAATCTATACCTGAATCCTCTAGATCAACCAGAAGAGGTATCAGGTATGTCAATGGCTACAAGCCTACAACCTGATCACCCATAGATAAGGGCTTGGGACAACAAACAAGGCCCTGGCTCTAATCAAATGGGGTTGGGAAGGTGTTCCATAAATAAGGAAATGGGTCCAATTCACCCACTCATTGTTGACAAATAAAAATCCTGCTTTCAGTATGTTTTTTCTCACTTTTTTTGCTTTTGTATTGGATGATAGACGATTCCAAGTGCTGTGGCAAGACAGTTTTGCCTTGCAAGCAAGGTGAAAATGGTTCTGCTTTGGGATCCTCAAGGGAGGCCATGGCCAGTGAAAGTCTGTTTCAGGAGAGATGGTCGTGTTGTTCTGTCAGATGGGTGGGGTGAATTTTCTAAAGCAAATCGTTTACTTGAAGGTGATGCCTGCAGCTTTGAGTTCTGCCATGGAATAGGCAATTCAATATGTGTCAATATATTCCGAGCAATGGGATCAACCAAACGACAGGCATCAAACAACAAGACTGGGACTGTAGTACCAGTCTCATCTGCTACAAGCCAAAAAGGTTCTGTTATTGCAGTATCTAAGTCACTGCAGTGGTAAGGAAAGGAAAAAAAAAAGTGGAGGAACATCTTCAGCATAGGAGGTTTGCTAGGTTTAGAGGAAGATTATCTAGTATTTAATGTTACTTAGTGGGTGCTTTTGGAAACCTTTCTCTGTACTCTTCATGCTATATAAAAAATGCCAACGGAGAAAGAGTCAAGTTCTTTCCTAAAATGTTTCTTCATTTGGACACTTTTGAATCTAATTTCCATTGGATCATCTTAATCATTTGAGATTGGTTACATGGGTAGAATAAATGGTTCAAGTTACCGCTTTAATCTGTTCAACAAAGTTTCATATTCATTCAGTTTGAGGAATTAAGAGGGAAAAAAAGGTTCCCTAAACAGATCGAGTGGGAAGCTTACTGAAATTAACATTGTCAGTATGGATTCAATATTTAACATTATATGGTGCTGCCATTTTTCCCTAACACGAGGGCATACATGTCTAGATCTGAGAAGCATTCATGAAAAACAGTGCTGTTGGTTCCTCACATGTGAAATGTCCCTTGTGTTAGGGACAGATGGTGGCACCATATAATGTTAACAGCAATGTGCAGAGTCCTGTTAACAGCAGATCCAGATTCATTGGATTTTGAGTTTTGATACAAGGGCATTGTACACTTATTGAAACCCAATATGTCGGCTATATTCCACCTTTATCCTTTAGTATTGATTGAACATAGGGTAAAAGTTGAGCCGGATTTGGTCAGACTGTCAGCGTTGAGGTCAATTTAATCCCACCCTGAGGTGTTGAAGCACCTACACTAACATAACCTCACCACATTCAGTCAACCCTAACCAAATCCAACCTAACTTGAAAGTATGGGTTGGACCAGGTTGGGAAAAGTTATAAACCTCTATGAGTACTATAATTATGTTAAACCAACAAATCTTAGCCTTTAGACTTTTTCTTTCGCTCAAAGCCTTTAGACTTAGAGTTGTCATACATAAATACCTGGCAGATACAGATTGAATGGATTTAACTACATATAAAACTTGTATGTTTTTAAATTTGATTAAAATATAATACAAAAATTATATATTAATACCTGTAAACATATTTAAGAAACGAATATCTTAAATACTATGTTTACTTGGTTTATGCCTTTATGCTTTCTGGATCCAATGTAGAAATTATAAATTTAGTTATTCAATATTTATACACTACTAATTTGCAATAGGTTCACCAATCACATGTATAAAATATTATTTAATCTTGGATGCATTATGCACATTGATTTGTATTTGTGTATTTATGTATATTTTGGGTTTACACCTAAACATTTTATACAAATTATCATGAATTATAATATAAATTTATAAATTATAATAGGTCCATATGTACTTTTCATACAAATGTAAGTTAAACTTGGTTCTTGCCCATCCTCCATAAGCATTGGCCATTGCCCCCTAACCTGGGTGAAAGTGGGAACTGGTCACAAGTTTCCACTACAACCAGCCAGAGACCTTACCAACTGAGGCAGTTGGCGCCTTCCTCAAACACTATGTGTTTCTTATGTCTCACTTGTAGGAATTGTGCTGTAGACTGTGTTTAATTGCTAAGTCAATCTTTTAAGCCATAACATTTACATTTTCCATCAAACCATGGGAGATATCATAACAATAGCCTATAAAAGATTAATAACAAAAATAATTCTTTTCATGCACCATATATTTCTACCCTGGAAGAACTCTAGTTTCTTTATGCCACTGGAACAACCTTATCTATATTGAAAGGACAGAGCACATGCAAGGAACTTTGACAATAGCTGCATATATTAGTAGCAAATTTGTTATTAAAAAAAAAAAGATATTAGTAGCAAATTGGGAAGACATGGGAGCATAAGAATGAGCAAAGAACAAATAAGTTAACATTTTTTATAAATGATTAAAAATACAAAATTGTTAGTTTGATTAATAAACAAACCATGAAATAGAATACCCCTTATGGCAGGAAATGCATATGATAAAATTATTACTAAAAAATATGATAACATAAATTGTAGGTAATAATGAATAAAAGATTAGTTTTTTTTTTTTTAAGACTAAATAAACAAAAGTGTTAACTAAGTACACGGTGTTTTAAAAACTGACCTGGAGGCTGAACCATTTTTGCCTCTATGTTGAATGGGTCAGATCGTGCCACATCAGCATTTATATATACATGTGTGTGTATAAATACATATTTTATCAATAAACAATGTATAATTATGTTTTAGATATGATATATGCATTATTTTATATTTAATTTTTAATTTTTAATTCAGTTTTTATTTTTTATTTATAAAAATATTAAAAATTGCGATTTGAGGCCAAAAAAGATTTTTTTTTCTACAAAAATAATGGGGCAAGGCGCTTGAAATGCATAAATCTCGAAAAGTTACCTAAATTTACAAAACAAAAAATCACCCCAATCAACCCGATGACCAAATCAAATGGGTCAATGGTTAAACTGGCTGGATCAAACACTGGTAGTACAAACATCTAACTATGATGTTGGACTATACCTCCCACAAATTTTGCATGCTGAGTTACTTTACGAGCAGTTTGGTTAAACTGTCTATATACATGACTAAACTTGATAGTGTTAAATTTAGTTGCTAAATACTTAATATTGTCCAAAAAGGATAAATATGACCAAGAAATGCTTTCATACACCCTTGATAAATGATTGTCTGCCACAAAATCAGTCATACTATTCTTGTTTTTTTCTCAAAAGCTCTACATACGATGCAATACCCAATTCAAAGACCTTTTGGCAATAAGAAAAATTATATCTCTTACCAGAAAAAAGAAGAAAAATCAAATCATTTCTAATCCTCCAAATATGATAAAAGGCAATGGTCACGCTACAAAGAAACTTTTCCTTTTCTGCATAATTATGTAAAGAATTCAAAAGTCAAAATTAATTCGAAAAACTGACCCAAAAACATTATTTTGACATCTAAACCCCCAAGAACTTGCAAAAAGAATAGCTCTAGAAAAAGTGGTAGTAACAAAAACAAACACTTAGGCCTCGTTCATTTTTTAGTAAGTTACTTGTCCATGTAAATACATTTACTTGGATAAGTTTTTCTTGGGAAACACTTATCCGGGTAAGTGCATTTACCCATTTTCTTTTATTTCTCATGTAAATAAGGTAATGACCATTTTAGCCATAAAAATTCATTATTAAGATGGACATATTTTGTCCCATTCAAGTGTTGGCAACTTTTCCCTTAGGTGGGAAAGTTATTTACCCACCTAACTGGGAGAACTTGTCTAGGCTAATCATTTTGATTCTGCCCCATAGGGGGTTCCTTTGATCTAAGCATTGTTGTTGTTTGTTAGAGGATGGCATTACTTGAAGCTCAGAGAATGGGTGAGAACTTAGCTTTTGTATTGGTTTTTCATAGACAGTGCCAATTGATGTCGCGCGATCTGACTGTTCCCATAGACGGTCATCACTTATACCCTACTTAGCTCGGTCGATCTTCAAAGGAGGTTGATGATGCTGATTTTGGCAGCCCCCGGCTGGTGATTCGGATACTGATTAGTAGTGTGCAATCCGACTGTTCTCTAGTCGTCTGGCTACTTCTTGGTGGCTGATGACTCAAAGGCCAAAGTGAAGGATTTTTGTCGGATGAAGACATGGATGTCGAGCTGACTAGGCCAAGTTGGGGGGTAGATCGGGTGCCGAGCTGGGTAGCTCTTCAGAGAAACCTGTAAGGAATCAATGTCAGAGTGCCCGGGTTGGGCACTCCGATGCTTAAGTTAGTACTATATTATGGTTACGAGTTGAATACTTGAGTGTAACTAAGTTAGTGAGCAAGTAATCGCATGTACCTCTCTGTGTCATTGGGGTTGGTGCCTTTATATAGGCTTTGTTTAGCATGGGCTTCATGTATTGCATCCAAGATTTCTGGGAGGTCGCCTAACCTGTCCAAGATCCCCAGAGGTAACCGCTACGCACATTGACCATCCTTCGGAACACTCGGTACGTGGGGCAACTTTCGAGAAACTTGGGAGTGTCAGGATATGCATACCGAATTTGTTGGCGAGCACAACTCGCAAGTCACCTCTTGGACCTCAGTCAGGTTAGCAAGCCCTCGAGGGAGGCCGTTCCTCATGTCGAGGTCACATTGGCCAGTGACGAGGTGCTACAAGTCGGCCCTAGACAAGGTGCTCTTAGCCGACCTCAGTTGTGGTCGAAGTTGCTAGGTCAGAGCAAAGACGAACCGCGATCTGGGACTCTAAATCATCGCTTAGGTGGTGTTCATGTGTCATCCAACTGTTCCAAGATGCCATGTGTCACGACGTGACTAGAGGGCCAAATCTGCCCTCATCAATTGCCCCCTATTCCCGAGCTGAGGGCAGCTCGGTGAAAGGAGTAGATCATTTCTTTTGGCCAGAATGACTATTTGATGAGCTCATAGTCGTATGCATCAATCCAATTTGCTTCTCAGGTCGGAAGAGTTCAAGTGTTTGTAGCCTTACACAAGACCTCGCCGCCTTGATTTTCGAGTTATGAGAGCAGACGCATCCGCTCGAAGAGAGGTGAAGCAGGTATCCCAAGGACATTTACCTTATTAGGGATGCAACCATCAAGGGGTTCTGCAATCCGACCTATTACCTCAAGAGCGGAGCTCCTCATGCCGTCCTCAAGAAGGGTTTCTAACCGCGTGACTACTTTATTAGGTCGCTCCACCTAGGTAGACTATGACGTAGTGTCACTCGAACTGGTTCTCAAAAGAGTAGCCTGTGAGTTCGACGCGGAGCCTGAAACTGAAGTGAAGAGATCGACCAAGTTTGCATCCATCATGGTGCTGAGGGCGAACTAGTCTTTCCTTTGTTCTCTTTCTCGTGTTGAATGCGAACTGCTTTTTATTTTGCCCATGCAAAAGAGGCGGTTGGGTCTTATGTGGTGCTGAGGCCTTTTATCAGCTCGGTACCTTAGCCCTTAGGCTCTGGGAGTGAGTCGTGGTCCACTCTCCTTATCCTTGCCCACACCGAAGAGGCAACTGGGTCTCATGTGGTGCCAAGGTCTTTTATCAGCTTAGCATCTCAGCCCTTAGGCTCTGGGAGCGACTCATGGTCTACTCTCCTTAACATTATTTAGCCGACATGCAACCTGACCTTTCCGCCTAAGTGGGTGGTTATTCTGTAGTAACTTCTCATATGACTGCTACTACGTCATCCCATTGGATTATCTTTCTGGGCATGTGCTTATGAGACTGTTGTGTACGCGT